GTCGCATCACTTCACTGGCATAGCCAGGCGGTTGCGCACAGAATTTTTTTAGGCCGGGCGTAGGGAGCCCAAATTGACAACCATATTCGCTTGCCCGGCCTATTCAGATAAGCGGACACCCCCCCCCCCCCCCTCCCCGCACGCCTAAAAAAAAAAAAATCTGCTCACATCACTGCGTCACTTGCTTCACCTCTGGGCTGAACGTACTATTTTATAAGCGCACCATCAAGCGAGCAGTTTACATATTGACAGAACAATTGGAGGAGGAATGACCCAAATCTTTCAGATTTCTTTAGTGATGCAAAACCTTCGCAAAACTGAATATTGTAAAATACAATCATAAATGCTGTATGTTCTCGTTAGCGCTGTCATTATTCTGCATCATGAAATCTTTATGCGCTGTGAAAACTTGGCATGCCGCTGAAGTCGCATATCGACGTTAATACCAATCGACGAAAATTTCGACAACCTCAATAACGCCGTTTGGAATTTGCCGCATGCACATAATTAGGCTGATTCCCACTTGGCTGTTCTTAACCTGACTTCACTGCTACCAAATGAAACAATATTTGATGCATGTCTTTTACTTTTTTTTTTCAGTGATATGAAACAAATTTGGTTATACTGCAGATAAAGATGCTCCCAACGATGCTAAAGTACAGAAAGCAAGTGAATTTTGGTAAGTGCAGACTTTTTGTACTACGTATATGAAAGCATCGCTTTTTAGGGGCAAACTGTGCATGTGTTGGCCAGAGAAGAGTTCACTATGCCACATGGTTACACTGGCACTGACAATTCGACATGGCTCCGCTGGCCCGTGTGGGTGCTCACACTGTTACCGTTAAGATAAAATGTTTATGTTTTCATTGCAGGTATTGCTGTTTGTACTAAAAAGCCAACTGCCAAGATTTCTTTACGCTGGTACTCCTAAAAGTATGCTTTCCCTATTTACATGGATTTTGGCTTGCACAAAGCATAACACTTGGGCCTAGATTCACAAAGCTGTCCATGCGCAGGCCTTCATAACAGTGTTTCTTGACTTGCTTTTACCCTGTTTTCTGCAGATGTTTCGTGGGTTTAAAAGTGCCACAGCATGTTGACCTCCCCCACTCTGAAATATTCGCGTTCAAAGTTCCGCAAGAGTGGGCTTGACTTTCTTGTGCACCTCTTTGCTAATCCAAGATATTGAAGTGTTATGCTCTTACTAGAGGTGGCAGTGTTTCTAATGTTTGTATTTCCATCACATTGACCAAGTATGCGATCTTGGCTTGACTGGTAGCACATCCTCAACAAATGTCTTTGTGGCACATGTAGAAGGCAGTACAAAATAAATAGGCAGACATTCACACCGGGAGCTAACTTCTAATAATGCTTTTTTTTTGGAAACCATGGTGTGCTTATTCCAATTTGTCTAACAAGCAGTAACCTGTTTGGCTGTGAACCAACAAGACGTTGAACTAATAAAAGCTTCACATCTTGTTGCTCTCAAATATATATGTATTGGCAAGCTATCTGTGACACTGTCAAACAAAGAATCAGAATATCTGTGCATGCCTTAAGATATATTGCTTCGTTTACATATCTCGTGGCTGTGACTCGTCAACCGAGTGAACAAATGCACCCTAGTTTTCTAAATTTAAAGCATTTTTTGAAGGTAGCACGGTCTACATTTATTTGTCTATAGTTTTGTCCAGCCGTTTGCGTCAGGTACAAAGAAATATACTGAAAATTATCATGTAGCCTCTGCAAATGGTTGCTTTCAAGCAGGCTTTGCAGCAGCGTATGATAGAACAGTAGAATCGAGAGCAACTATGTGCACGAGCTAAATAAGTATTTTAACATGAGCGGCCAGTACGTGTTATTTGCCACACACACATGACCTCATTTAGAATGCCCATTGGTGAATGGGCTCATAGAAATGTCACTCAGCTGTGTATAGGAAACAAGTTAACTGAACCTAAGGGTATCTTTAGCTACTACAAATATGTATGCCTTGTTGAGGTGCTGCACATTTTCTTCCAGAATATTGCTGTCTGAGACATCATGTGAAGAGCGTCTACCACATCAGCATTTATATGGCTTGCCAAGTAACGTTTGGCCGAACCTTCCTTTTTTTCACATTTCGTTTTGCAGTAGACATCCTAGAATGTAAGCGCTGCTGCAGTGTGTGTGACTCATTGTTATGAATGGATTCTGGCATGTTTAACCTCACACTTCTATTTTTTTTCTTGCAGCAATGAGATGCTTCACATATGCCTGCGGTGACGTTCTGCTGCGCTAGCCTGATGGAAACACCAGCTGCGAAACTTTAGTTCTTCAGAATTGGAGAAGTTGCTCTTCTCTCACCAATGATGACACAGACTGCCCTATGCTAGAAATTCAAGATTGTTTTTCCACGGATGACGCAGAAAACCTTTGATGTATTATGGTGTTTGTTTAGTGCTGGCTGTGGTGTGGCGAAGTCTACTTTTACGTGTGGTCAAACGTCGCCTCATAAAAAGAACAATAAAGCATTTATTTTCCTTTCAGTATTGTCCACTTTTTGTGTTAGAAGCACCCAAGCGGTGCTCTTCCAAGGAGCTCTCGCCATGTGTTAAGCGTGTGACAAGCATACTCGAGATAAATACTCATTTCCCCAAGGAGTAACTGGAAGCATGTGCAGTTGGTTTTCAGAGAGTAACTGCGAACACGTGGGAGGAACAGTAAAGAGTAACTGTTGCTCTTAGAAGAGCAACTGGTGGGAGTAATGGTTGGTCGGCAGGGAGCAACTGGTGGGAGTAACTGTTGGTCTGCAGGGAGGAACTGGAGGGAGTAACTGTTCATCCCCCGAAGAAGGAACTGAAAGGAGAGCAACGGTTCCTTCCTCTGCAGTTACTCCTTTTAGGAGAGTAATGGGAGTGGCAATGCAATTGCTCCCTGAAAGGAGCAACCCCTATACTCCTGTTGCTCCGTTTTGGCTTAGAGTGTGGGAATACCGTTCTATGGGTGAAGCTCCTTATGGTCTAGGGCAGTCCGTTCCTCCGGGATAGCCAGCTCAGCATGACCAAAGACAGACAGACAGACAGACAGACAGACAGACAGACAGACAGACAGACAGACAGACAGACAGACAGACAGACAGACAGACAGACAGACAGACAGACAGACGGACGGACGGACGGACCGACGGACGGATGGACGGACGTACAGACAGACAGACAGACAGACAGACAGACAGACAGACAGACAGACAGACAGACAGACAGACAGACAGACGCTTCGAAACACTCATCATCACTCACTCCGTGGATATGCAGCGATTGTTTTTATGCATTCTTGCTGTGCCATACGCAGATCCTCAATACTGGTTGCCATTAACTGTAGCCAGTCCGCAGTGTCCCGACAGGTCCCACCAGTTAGTTGCAACAAACCGTGCTCATGCTTCATCTCATCGTGTTTGGGAAACACCACGACACAATGGTTTCAGATACGAAAGGAATGCACGCCCAGTCTTCATTCGTGAATTACGGTGCTGCGTAGTTTGTAACGTTTAACTCTGGACTTCTCGAAGAAAAAGAAAGAAAAACGGGGTGGAAGCCAGAAGCACAATAACGAAATATTCTCTCCAGAAGCAATTACATCTTCGATAAAAGTTCAAGGTAAACAAAATTAGCTGTCTGGTAGTTACAGTTGCAAGTGCCTTTTATAAATACTGGGCTAAAATAAGGTGTGCAGGTAATTTCGTACTTTGACGTTCCAATGTTGATCCGGTTGACGAGTGGCTCCAAGCAGGAGAGAAGGGCTGCTGCCGATGCCAGGGCGAACATTATGACGATCAGGTGAACTGACAAAACAATATGTAGAAAGGTTCACGTAAGACACCAGTAAAATCGAAGGTGCACGTTCAAGCTTTGTAAAATTGCAGTACAACGTCTGATGTCCGCTAAAAAACCCTACGCGCCGTTCAGCGGTGGCCAACGACGGAGGCCGTCGGTGCAGCCGCTGCGCCAAATTTGCTTGCACGCGAGAGCCGAGCACGAACCACGCCTGCGCTTTTACCGGAGGCGCCGCAGCCGGCTTTCACGTTAGTTCAGGTGATGGAGTTCGGACAGTATTGCATGATCTGTGACAGGTACCTGCTTAAGTTATGCATGTTCGACTCATTCAAGAAGGCCAAGTTGAGGCACTAAGGTCTGCTAGCTTGGCTGTTTATTATGCCTTGCAAGTGTATTGCCCTTTCGTCATTGTTATGAAATCACGCAACAAAATAAGGTGGAAGCACCAACGAGAAAAAAACGTTGAGAAAACGTGCTTGTGTTCGTGTGGTCTCGGTGCTCTCGACTTATTTAGTGGTGCTGTTACATATATTTTGCCTATTTTGTGTCCAATTCAACTTAGTATTCCGTTCGTGCCAAAGTGCGCTGCTTTGTCTCGTCTACACATTAACAAGAGTATACTGTTCAAGTTGTTTGATCAAGATATATAATAATCTAACAGTGAGTCTGCTTGAAATATAGAGGTTCGTCGCTGCTGGATTGTTGCTCACAGGCTCTGTCGTTACTTCGGAACAACTCGGCAGAGCTGCGTCGGCGCTTCGCCGTGGGAACAGCCTAGCTACGCCTTAGATGAAAGGAAAGGATAATAAATGAGTAAAATAAAATACATTTTTTCGGAGAGGCGGGATTGGAACCCAGGTATCCACGGAACGAAGATGAGAGTAGTTACACTAGGCTATCCAGGCACGCTAACAGAAAAAAAAAGAATTTATGGGAATAATCTTAGCGTTGCTATGGGTGATAGAATAAGACAAACATAGAAAGAAATAGATGTTGAAAGAAAAAGAAAGAAGCGAAAATAAACAGTGTGAAAGCAACGGGCCTATAGAAAGAACTATAGACGGTAAAGAATGCATGGCGTAGTCTTGTATAGTATAGCAAAGGTAGAGAAAGATAAACGAAAGGGAGGAGGAGTGATATGACGGGAAGGAAATGAGGAGGGAAGGGCTCCTAGCTTAACTGTTCTCACAGTGTTAGACCTAAAACATTAGACATAAAAAAATAGGCCTGAAACAGTGTCAAATACAAGTGTCTTTGATCTGCCTCTGCATGAAATTTAAGTTTTAATGTTACTGATACTAGCAGTCTAATGTTTCTCAACCGGAACTCAGGCACGCGTAGCAAATAAGGCTCCATGAATGCCGAGGTGTTGCGTTTCATAGAAAGATGGCGCAGTGAGTCGTGTCGTCTTACCCAGGTACCGGTAGAAGTAGTACAGCACGAGCAGCATGACGCTCATATGGATGACGAACATGATGACCAGCTTAGGAGAGAGTGGCACCGTGAACTCTTCCTCCAGCTCACCAATGCTCTCCGTGAAGTCCCGGTCGGGCGGAATGTGCACCAGAGACCCGTCGGATGCGCTGTTGCGTTAAGCCGAACAAAATGTGTAAGCGCGTCATGAGGGAATAGACATAACGTTTGCACTACGGGTATATTCTGCCGAGTGCGAGCTAGTTCAACATTCAGATGCCTCAGATATCGCTAAAGTTTTAGCCAATACGTCTTGAGCACTTAGCACTGCTGTGCTCACAAGTAATAACATCCTAACATCCATGACGGTGAAGGAGGGTGATTAGGTATGTTAAAGCTTAAATAAAGCATGTTATAATTAGCAAGCATAAAAGCTTGATTCGCCAGTTTAATGTAAGAAAGCCAGATATTTCTAGTGTTTGCCCACTTGAATATTGTAACCGGCGAATCGAAAAAAACATCTTACGAGCACCAAATGTATGTAGTACCAGTGTATGCTTTCATTCATATCCTTTTGTCCTCTATTGAGAGGTACGGAGAAGAAAAAAAAATGCGCACTTGTTCACGTTTCCCTCGGAAGCTTGTCGGTGGCTTTTGGTTGCACGCCGGGATTTCTTCTTCGGCTTGGGCACCCTGGGCTGGTACCTGCGTTAGTGACAGAACGTGTAAGTATTAGGAACCCTTAAGAACAGCTTATGTTGCTAGCATTATTAGTATTATAGACATAGGCACGTGTGAAAAGACTAAGCAAATTTAAGAAAGCTGAAGCTTTACCTGGGGCCCCGCAAAAGGCCTTCATTTCATTTACGGATTCTTCGAACTTCCTTTTTCTGCTCTTTTTTAGCAACCCATCTCGTATTCACTGCTCAAGCACCAGAATAAGAAGAGTTTGCCACATTCGTTATAGTATTCATTGTATCTCGTGCCACCTCCTTCCGCTCAAAAGCGTTTTGAACGAAACAAACAGAGCTCATTTATATTAACGTAAACTGAAATGCACTGAGAACTCGATTTCACGACTTATATAGTCGCCTACAAACCTTCAAAGTGTACGAGGTGTACGAGTGGACGTTCATGGACTTACGTAATGGATATGGCACTGATGTAAATTCAGTCAGCGAGCGTAGTAAATCAAGCATGCTTAACAGTTCTAAGAATGAAGCCGTTAAGGAAGCCGCTTTTGTTGAAAAGCACAGGGGGCAAAAATTAGGAGTTACCGTTGGTATATTTTTATATGATAACAATTTCCTGCACATTTAGAAATAAACATAGAACAAATGTGCGTTCACAAACGCAGCTACTTTTAATGTTGTACAGCATTAATCGTTTTAGTACGAAATGTAAACAAGCTCGTCTCTACAGGTGGGTCACAGAATTTTAGTTTTTCAAAAGCCGGAAAAGTAAGAAAGCTAAAAAACGGTCGGAGGAAGCAAGGTTGGAGGTAGGAGATTAAGCAACCTGTCCGCTAACTTTGAATTTTGAAAGGCCTTCCCGGTATCATTGTAACGGATATTTCTGAAGGCTATTCGACGTCAGGCTTCAAGAAACATACAGACCCCGATCTCCCGAATGGGTGAGCTGAAATTGCAGACCATATTGAGAATTTGTTCTTTGCTTGCGTTTTAACACCCGCTGACCGCATGTGGCGTCTAACGCAAAAAAAAAAAAAACACATGTTAAGCAAGTAAAATAAGTATGGGAATAAAACTGCAATCATGCGGGCCGGACTGATAGGGCAAGATTCGCGAAACACTTGTTTGATACCATTGGTGTGACTGAACTTGATTTGATTTTGATTGATATGTGGGGTTTAACGTCCCAAAACCACTATATGATTATCAGAGACGCCGTAGTGGAGGGCTACGGAAATTTTGACCACCTGGGGTTCTTTAACGTGCACCCAAATCTGAGCACACGGGCCTACAACATTTCCGCCTCCATCGGAAATGCAGCCGCCGCAGACGGGATTGGAATCCGCGACCTGCGGGTCAGCAGCCGAGTGTGACTGAACTTGCGACATATTTATGTAGCTTCATGGTGGGATTGATACTAGTACCTTATGTTAAAGGGCCACTCACCAGGTTTGACAATTTTGAGCTGACAAGCGCAATGTGTAGATGAGGCGTTCATGATCACGTGCGCCAAAATTTGCAACGCTACGCGCTGCGTAAATGGGTCAAATTTCAGGATGGAAGCTTTTCCCCTTCCCCTATGCCGGCGCACGCGTAGAGAATGAGGGAATGATGTGGGCGTAGGAATGGCCCTACATACACGGCAATGCAGTGACGTTGGTCCTCTACGTAGACGACTCCACTCTGACGTTGTCAACAGTATGCCACGTGACATGGCAAAAATTATTTAACACAACATGCGTAGTTTATGTATTTGTTGCTTTAAGAGATGAATAAAGCTTGAAATAAATATTGAGACGCAATAAAAAATTGTGCGCGTATTTCTTACATTTTTTCCCGTGAAATACTACGAGATGCGGCGCTAATGTGCCAGCGTTTCGCATGCGTTTGGGTCCCCGTGGTCAGCGCATTGAGCAGACGACCCACGTGGAACGCTAATACGCGTTCGCGCACTCATTGTGCTCATCTACTCTACCGCGTCTAAGCCAGCGTTTCCAAACAATCCCGCAGAAACCGGCAGAAGACCACAAAATAACGCAGGTCAACAAAGCAACGCCGCTCGCGTGCACGGGGGCTGGGCTTGTTCGGACACGTCATGCGCACGTCTCCTCTTGGTCGTATGCCGGAGAGCGTGGGGAAGAGAATTGACTTGCGAATGCTACGCGGAGGAGCAGCAAGGGTTTCGAGCTCGCCTCCTCTTACCCTCGTTTCGCGCCACTTCCTCTCACCCTCGTTTCGCGCCATCCACCCGTCCATCCATCCGTCCATCCATCCATCCATCCATCCATCGATACATCCATCCATCCGTCCGTCCGTCCGTCCGTCCGTCCGTCCGTCCGTCCGTCCGTCCATCCGTCCATCCGTCCGTCCATCCATCCATCCATCCATCCATCCATCCATCCATCCATCCACCCATCCATCCATCCGTCCGTCCGTCCGTCCGTCCGTCCGTCCGTCCGTCCGTCCATTCATCCGTCCGTCCGTCCATCCGTCCGTCCGTCCGTCCATCCATCCATCCATCCATCCATCCATCCATCCATCCATCCATCCATCCATCCATCCATCCATCCATCCATCTGCGACTTGTAGCTCTCCTGGCCGTTTCGATAATGGTATCGATACCTAACTTGGTATGGCATAACATGACTGTAAGAAGAACATATTTGATTAGCAATAACATGAAAATCTTGAAATGTATGTCATGAATGTCATGATTTACATGTCATGTTCCTGCTGCTCTTGCGGTGGTTTTATTCACATAGCATGTTGCAAAACTGGTATGGTAAGGCATTATTGCATGACGAACACAAGCGACAGACCCTAACTTGTAAATCATGACATGCGTGTCATGTAAAACATGACGTCATGTTACACTCATGATGCGCTCACGGCCGTTTCGCTAGCGTCACATATACCAAATTAGGTATTGCAGTACGTGAATGGATGACGAAGGTATGTGACTAGTGCAAACATTATAATCATGAGATACGTGTAATGTAAACACGTGACCACATGCTTCGCTCATCATGCGCTCGCGGCCGTTTCGCTAGCTTCACATGTACCAAACTCGGTATTACGTGACGCGAACGGACGGCACAAGTAACTGACACATACAAACGTGATAATCACGACATTGCTTGTTATGTAACAACATGACTACACGCCACACTGATCATGCGCTCGCGGCCGTTTCGCACATCCCAAATTTGGTATTACGGGATGTCAATGGATGACGAAGCTATGTGACTAGTGCAAACATGATAACCATGAGATATGTGTCAAATGAAAACATGATTACACGCCACACTCAAGGCGCCAATACATTACGACGTGACGTGGTGCGCGTGTTCAGCGGCGTTCATTTCGACGCGCCACGCCGGCGTTGCGACGCCAGGTGTCGGTCCTGCCATATACTCGCTGGCACACGCCGCGCTGATTTGCTTTGACGCATGCGCTTTTAAGCGCGTCCGGTGTGCCTCCGTCACGAAAAGAAGGTGACGCAGTGTTGTATGGTTACCGCATCGGCGCGAAATGGAGTATGTCACATTTCGCACCGGTTGCCGTGGGGACGGTTGTCGGTGGTCGCGCCTGGCTAACGTAGCGTCGCTGTGGCCAGCGTGCGCACGCAACAACGCTACATTGGAGTATATTGGGCCCTTCATGGTGCGCTCGCCGCCGTTTTGTTAGCTCCACATGTAGCGTGTGTTAAGTGATATCAATGGATGACGAAAGTACATGACTGGTGCAAACGTAGTAATCCTCACACGCGTGTCATCTAAGAACATGACAACATGCCACGCTCACAGCGTGCTCGCGGCCGCTTCGCTAGCTCCACATGTAGTAAATTTGGTGTCACGTGACTTGACTAGAGGACTAAGGTAAACCACACATGACAATCATAACACGGAAGTCCTGTACGGCGTCAGTTACCTCCACCTCGTAACCTTGTACTGATTTTAAAGTGACATATGAACCTTACCCATTCGTGCTTCGCATATCATCGATTCCCTGTGTACGTGGGATCTGCCAATTTCCTTGTCATAACTAATTACTGCACAGTCATGTTATGCCACACCAATGTTAATACAGATCCGATTACTGAAAAGGGCAGGAAAGCTAAAGTTCATAGGCGAATAGATAGATAGATAGATAGATAGATAGATAGATAGATAGATACGGAAAAAGTAACCGAAGTTCACTTAAAAATGCTTCGCAAACATGACGCACGGCTATCTCGTCTTGCCAGCGAGAATAGCACTTACTGCACGAGCTGCACCAAGCCGGACCAGTAGGCGCCACCAACCACCGTTACCATGGCGATCCCCCAGATGACGGCGAAGCTCCAGTCGAACGAAGTTTGCACCGAAAAAAGCTTCGCCACTAGGCTCTGGTTGTGGTGGTCGTCGTATTTCTGCGCAGAGAAACGCGTGAACACTCACCCGTACATTTTGATTGGAATGTGCACAGGTAGCATGTAATATACTATGTCTTGCTCGACATTCACAGGCGCAGCATTCTGCGAAGCCACATCTGCTTTATGAAGCATGTATTTAGGTAGCTTAATTATATCGCATCATAACACTACCATAAGATTTGTTTCACATATATCTTTTTCCCATGACACACTATGTATACTAGCCACTTCCTTCCATTGCACTGAAAATTTAATGCGCACTACGACACGTTAGAAACACGCTCTCAAATGTTAGCTTCAAATTGTGCGCAAAATATCTCAAGCATTGTCTGAGGTTATAAATGTACTGGTTTTGCAATTAGCCATCACTACGCAGCAGCGTACGTATTTGGCCTGGTTGGTGCTTGACTTCCACTAGAAAACATCGCTAAATACAGGCAAAAGTGGCTAGTGTATTTGCCCCGCCGCGATGGTCTAGTGACTAGTGTACTCAGCTGATGACGCCATGCCGATGGAGGCGGAAATGTTGTAGGCCCGTGAACTCAGATTTGGGTGCACGTTAAAGAACCCCAGGTGGTCCAAATTTCTGTAACCCTCCACCACGGCCTCTCTCATATTTTATGCACATTGGTTGGGAAGCATTAACAGGCATATTCATTGTTAAAAGAATAACCCCAACAAGCTTAATACAGCTGCTGATACTTGCCCTAATCTTCACGCAGCTTTCATTACTTGGTAAAGGATAAGACATATTGCATGTGATTATCTTTCATATTGCTTGTCTGCACGTTCATATTTTCTTAGCAGGCATAGCGAGTCAATAATAGCGAGATTCCCCCCAAACATAACCTTTTTATGCTTACAAGAACCTATCGAGAAAGCTGATTTTGCGAAACCCTGATTTATTTCCTTATAAGAGCTTCAAATAATTTCATAATATCACCGAATGATCACTGATCAGAATATACAGAAGTGTATTGGTAAATTATTCAGAGTTCACCACTATACGTCGTCTCTCATAACCATATTTTGGTTTTGCGAAGTGAAGCCCTCAGATATTATTATTACACCGGAGTTCAACACACAGAGTTTAAACTCAGAATTATGTTAAACGATATAATTGTTACACAGTGACCAGTTGAAGCAGAGTAGAACTCAAGGCGGCATTTTTTTTATCCATCGAATTTAAGTTAAATACAAATCCAAAGGACCCGCCATAGTGGTTTAGTAGCTAAGGTACTGGGCATCTGACTCGAAGGACGCAGGATCGAATCCCGGCCAGCTGCGTCCACATTTTCGATAGCGGCTAAAATGCTTGAGGCCCGCGTGCTTAAGTTTAGATGCACACTAAAGAACCTCAGGTGGTAGAAATTTTTGGAGCTCTCAGCTACGGCATCTCTAATAACCATGTGGTGGTTTGGGGACGTTAAATCCAAAGAATCATTGTCATACATTGGGTGTTGCTACAAGATATGCAAATTATCGACGAAATATACTTGACTTTTTAGGGAAGGGGGAGAAGCTTGCCACTATACATACACACTACGTATCGAAGAGCACACCTCTAAAAGAACTTAGCAGCATGAGGGGATAAATGTGTCTAAAAGGTGATAATTCAAGTATAGTTAATTTACAGGTGGTTGCACAAGTCATGGACATTAAGTGGCCGGTTTCTGGATTCAAATAGGCCTTCAGCCATAAAACGCAAGAACGAAGATTGTAAAAAGGGCGTGCACTTTTTCATTGAGAGGTGTAATTTAATCTTCAACGCAAGCTCCCTATGTTATGTGAAACGAATGATCTCAGCCCGGGCGTCAATTTTCTAGCTTTTATATTCACACCACTTGTGTACTGATCGAAGCTTTTATAGGTGAAGGAGCTGGGGCTAGAGCTCCATCCGGTGTGCGGCGTGACCGCAATTACTGCGCATGCGCGTCCACTCTCATTTTTTTCTTCTACGCTCCCCCTCTCTCAGCTCATAACGCCGACGCAAGGAGAGTCTGCTAACCTACGCTCGCTCCCCCTCTCTCTCCTCTAGGCATTCGTCCCTGCGGCGTTTATACAACCATTCTGCATGCGCGACTTCTTAGCCCCCTCTCCCACGCTTCCCTTTTCTCGTCTCACAAAGGCATGAGAGGAAAAGCGAGTTTTTTTTAATTAAAGAATCCGACTGATTGCGCTGCACAACCATTGACTGGGCAGCCCGTATGTACAGGCTCCAGATCTTGAACCCAAGGTAGTGCCAGTGGAATATTTCTTTTGTGCGTTAGGGAACGATTAGAATTCGCCACGTGCGCGTTAACTAAAAGCCGAATGCGGGTCGCTGTGTCCTATGGGAGTCGTCTGTTTCCCGTCGACCATCAGAAGCGATTGGCATGTTTCGTTCGAAAACGCTGGTCCATCACTGCATGCTTTGCGCCTCCACAGGTTTTTCTCCTGCGCAACACCGCAATGAGCGCCAACTTAAACGTATCCACCAGCCGCATCTACACATGTTTCCTTTAGCGGGAGATGGTGAAATTATTTTTATGAAACCAGCAATGCACGGCATAACATTAGTTGTTTACTGCGTTATAACGTGATTAAAATTTTCTCTGCAACGCAGTCCACAGGCAACAAATAATATATTACTGATAACGACTCATTTCCGTTTTTCAATTGGGGCTGTTTTTGTGGCTGTTTTTCAAACACAGCCATAAAGCAATCATCCACTTGTTGCGACTGTTTTTGTCGAAGTCCTCTTGAGTTTTGTGTTGGATCTGAAAAATTGCTACGGCCGTCACTTTTCAATCAAGAGAGGCACGTCTGTGTGAGTGAACGATGGAAACCAATGCTGCCAAGTGACTTACCGCGATCTTGTGAGCGGTTTCATTGATGATAAAACCGGCGGTGATGTCAAGCCTCTTGATACTGGTCTTCGATTCTTCAGCCTGTCAGAAATGATAGATAAGGTTATCATGAGGTACCTTATGAGATTTCCCGAATGCTATGGGTGGCTTAATGACAATTTAGTGAGCAGTCGATGATAGCGAAATAATTGCAGGTTCTAAGAGGAGCTCTCTGTATACGTTAAAGGATCCTTGAAGCAGTTTTCTCACGTTCCGTTTTTGACCAGGCCACTGCTGGAGAAAATCATTGTGACCATAATTCAATCAAAACACCCCTTATTATTGCAGCTACGAGTAATAAATAGATAACCTACTCCTTCACTTCCACTTTCATCCTCAAACGCCTCAACTCTTCCTTCGAGTGGTCGGGGCCACGCTGCGCTTTCACGGCGCCTGTGACACGTGTTCCCCAGCCAGTCACATCAGCAACCACGGTGACGTCAAGAGGACAGAACATGTCGCTTTGGGAGTAAGCGGTTAAAAAGGAGTTTGGCCGATTTTCAGTAATGTGCACCGATTCGCAGCTTAAAAACGTTTTAATAAATTACAGTTTACGCAGCGTGGTCTATTATGTTTGTAAATGATTTTTTTACTTATTCTACCAGCCCAATGTATTTTTACGAAATCGTAGAAACCATTTCAGTATTTCTTTAAAGGAGGAAAAAAAGCGAGAGTGATCCAAGTCTGAATTTAAAGCATCTTGAAAACTCAGGCTGATTCGTCGGCAAATTTATCATAGCGTACCGCGTGTCTTGCGTTGACGGAAATGAGGATGCCATTGGCCTTGGCACTCTTTGCCTGCAGGATGATGTCGTTGTTGGAGACGTTGTCGCAGCGCTCTACCAGCACCACTTTGCCCTCTAAGCCACGGCGCTCGTAGTCGCAGTCGGTGTCGTTGAGCGTGTTCAAAAACGGACGGTACTCCTGCACAGTGCACGTGAATCGAGAGCCACGAAACATCAAACCAAACCAACCATACACCAAGTGTTGAAAGCGATTGCACAGCTTAACGTTGCCCTGAAGTTTCTCGAAAGTTTTATAAAGCATGGGAAAGCAGGTTGCGCCTTAGCGTTGCCCCACAACCCCCCCTGAACGCGAAGCCACAGCGACTTGAAAATCTGTTTCGTAACAAGGAGTTCGAACGCCGGCTTTGCAGGTGATCGAACTTCTATGGGTGGTGGTGAAAACATTTAATAACCATTAAATGGTTACAGAGAGGTGATTGGGTTGGGGCCTTATTGGCCTCCTACCCTCACAGCACTAGGTGGAACCCCTATTCCGGGGCTCCATTGGCAAGCAACGCCGCCCGCGCCCGTTGAACCAGAGCCTCTTGGGCCTTCAGGTCTTGACAGCCGAGCAGGGCCGCCTCCCAGTCCTCTCTCGTGGGATTGGGGTTGGGGGGGATAGATGGATTAGACTGGCACGCTCACACGATGTGAAAGGTGTCAGCCACCGCACCACAGAACTGGCACGTGCCATCAAAGGATGAATTGAAATGTTTTAGCACCGCCGGGCACAGTACAGTATTGCTAAACAGTTTTAAAAGGAGGCGCTCGTCAGCGCGATGCAGTCCCTTACAAGGGTCTGGATAGCGCCGGTGCTCCTCCTTGTAGTAATTGGTAATATCTTTGAATGAAAGGGCCGAATTGTCTGATTGCGAGTAGGCTTCCAAGGACAGGGAGATAGCCCGGGAAGAGAGTGCGCGGGCGGCTTGATCGGCCTGTTCGTTACCCCTGAGTCCTTGGTGACCGGGTGCCCAAACCAGATTTCGCGGAGTTGGATTAACGTATCGGCAGCTAGGTTCCAGTATGCGCTGAGCAAGCGGTGAAGCCCACCCTAGCTGATAGTTCCGACAGGCCCCTCGTGAGTCGGTGATGATATGTTTAGAAGAGGGATAGGTGAGAGCCAGAGCGATGGCAATCTCCTCCGCGTGTGTTGCGCTGTAGGCTTTTAAAGTGAGCCCGTTTACGGTGTTTGCGTTGTGTATGACAGCGGCAGTATACCACCCCCCATGGTGCGGGCCGGCAACGTCCACGTAGCACACGTGTTCCTCTTGACCAAAGTGTCGCTGCAACGCTTCCGCGCGCGCCTGGCGGCGACCACTGAGGTTTTCTTTGGACATGTTGCGTGGAAGGGGTCGGACCCGGAGGGCGCGTCTCCAAGGTTCTGGCACTCTCACCCTTTCCTCAATATAGTAATCGTGTTTGGTGTGTATTCGGTCCAAGAGGCGGCGACCGGAATGGGTCTGTGCAAGGCGCGTGTATTGGTTAACGAGGTGGGCTTCTCGAAGTTCCCGGTAGGTATTCATCACGCCTAGGGCCAGAAGTCTCTGGTTGGACGTGGTGATAGGGAGGTCGAGAGCCCACTTGATAACTTTACGGCGAATGACCTCGAGTTGATCATCCTCGTGTTTGCGTAGGTGCAAGTAGGGAGTCGAGTAGAGTATTCTACTCGTTACGAAAGCATGGGCAAGCCGCATTGCATCCCTGCTTCGTAATCCGCCCCGCTTGTTGGAGACGCGGCGGACCATACGGCCCACCTGGTCTCCCACCGTGCGAAGTTTGGCTATTGTGGTGTCGGCCTTGCGTTGGTGGTGTATGAAGAGGCCAAGGACGCGGATCTCCTTGGCCTCACGGATCGGTCCCGAGGGAAGACTGATATGGAGCTGAGTTGTGTGCGGAGGGGAGGGACGTACGTGCACAAATTCTGACTTAGCCGGGGCACACTGGACTCCGCAGTAGGTTGCGTAGTCGTCGACTACAGTCGCTGCTGCTTGCAGGCATGACTCCATGTGACCCAGGTTACCTTGCGTGGCCCAGATCGTGATATCATCCACGTAAAGAGCGTGATGTATCCCTGGTAAAGAAGCCAATTTGGGGGGAAGATGAAGCATGGCTATATTAAATAGGAGGGGAGAGAGGACCGCGCCTTGAGGAGTTCCCCTCGAGCCGATGACGTAAGGCCCATGTTCCTCATCTTGTATGCGTATGTAGGCTTGACGGTCTGTAAGAAACTGTCTAACATAATTGAATGTTTTATAACCACAGTTGGTCTGACTGAGGTGGTCAAGGATTACCTCATGCTTCACGTTGTCGAATGCCCCTTTAAGATCCAAGGCCAGGACTACCTTGTCATTGTGGGGGCATTCAACAGGATCTAATATGTCATGGTGGAGCTGTAGAAGTATATCCTGGGCTGAATTCTGAGGGCGGAATCCAAACACGGTGTCCGCAAAAGTGTGCTGTGTTTCTAGAAACTCGGAGAGTCTGTCGCGCAGCATCGTTTCCATCAGCTTGCCGACACAAGACGTGAGGGAGATGGGGCGAAGGTTCTCCACGTCAATAGGTTTACCTGCCTTCGGGATGAAGGTCACGAGAGCTGATTTCCATTCAAGAGGGAGAGGAGTTTCTCCGTCCCAAATGCTATTGATGTATTTGAGGAGCGTGGCGTAGGCTGCGTCGGGAAGATTGGCCAACAGTTTGACCGTAACCTGGTCACGCCCTGGTGCAGTGCCACGCTTCATCTTGCGTAAGGCCGCCTGGAGGTCGTGGAGCTGGAACGGGGTGTCCAACTGCGTGTTCTTTTTGCCTGCGTAGAAGTATGCGGCCGTCCAGGGATCCTTGGTGGTGCACAGGTATCGGTCCCTGAGCGTGTTTGCCAGCTGTGTTGTCGTTCCTGTAAAGTTGTGCATGACCTTATGTAAGTGACGTTGAGTTTCCGTGCGTGTTTGTGTTGGATCGATGAGAGCGCGAAACAGGCGCCACGTGTTGCGACCAGACATCTGGCGTGCAGCCGTGTTGCACCTGTCCACCCAGTTAGTGTCGGCTAGCTGAGCAGCATATTCCGCAGCTTGCTCCGTGAGTTCTAGGATGCGTTTCTTGAGGCGTCTGTTATGTTTCTGTTTTTTCCATCGTTTGGTGAGGCTGCGGCGGGCCTGCCAAAGATGGAGGAGGTGGTTGTCCACGTCCGTTTGAGTTTCCGTGAGCTGTATCAGCTGTTCGTGTTGTTTCAGTGTAGACGTCAGTGATTTAGACCAGGTGTCGTATCCCGACTGGAGAGGGTCTACAATAGGTAGAGTGGTGCGGAAAGTTGTCCAGTCTGGGATACGAGCTTGTGTAAGTGGGCGTTTTAAGGGACGCATGTACACGGTTGTGTTTAATACACAATGATCACTACCGAGAGTGTCCTGTGTGTTCAGCCAGTCGGCATGGCGTATGTTGCGTGTAATTGTGAGGTCCGGGCAAGTATCTCGTTGAACAGAGTTGCCTACACATGTTGGGCTGGCGGGATCAGTGTGGAGGGTGAGTCCAAGTGTAGAAAGAAGTTCCGCAAGCTTCCTTCCACGCGTGTCCTCTCGTGGGTAACCCCATAACCTGCTTGGGGCATTGAAGTCGCCGACGATCAGGAGGGGGTCCCGTCCTGCCACCTGCATAGCTCGTGTGAAAGTTGCGCTGAACGTGACGTTCTTAAGCTTTGGGGGACAGTAAATGTTTAAAATATGAACAGGTGGGTCAGATCGCCTTATAGGCAGCACCGACACCATCGTGTATGGGAAAGGCGGTGTTGTGGGGAGTGTGACTTCCTGGGCAGTATATTGTTTGTGAACAAGTATACATGTCTCCGGGTTGTGTTGAAATGTAGTGTAATTTGTGAGTTTGACGTCCGTGCCGGGTTCCTGAAGGGCAACCACGGCAACGAGGAACTCAAAGGTCTCAAGATAGAGGCGGAAATGAGCCCGCTTCTTGTGGTTCTTGAGACCTCTGCAGTTCCACTGTGTTAGTAACAAAGGCTGAGTTGCTCAACTTCTATGGAAGATAAGATTTGACAAAGCAAAGACAGAGTTGCCGATTAAAGGCAGTACGCTTGTAGCAGTATCACTGTATCGACAAACTATGAAAGGTCTAGTTCAAAGCCAGGTTCAAGGTCACATAGCGTTTTTAGAAAATATAGATAAATTTTTTATTGAAGCTTCACTCGCAGAGTTCATTGCTCCTATGTGACTAAACAGAATATTATATAAATTATATGTGGAACGAACCGCAAAGAAATACAGGCGGAGTTGGTTTAGGAGTTAAAGTGGTCGACTAATGAGCCGAAGGTCACAGTAGCTGCATTTCAAAGGAGGTGACATGCTAGAGCCTTGTGTGCCGTAGTTGTGCGGACGTAAACGAACCTCAAATGGTAGAAATTACCGAAGGCCTCACCCTACAGGGTACCTCACCACATGACGTTGTTAAGGTAAAATTGCAGCATTTTTAAGTCGCAAACAAAACGTAATTGTAAATACAACAAAAATATTTGTAAATGCAAAGGACAAGTACAAATTGAGTGGTGTTAAATGAGAACCATAGTGCTTCATAAAGAAAGCAACAGAATACCAATCAAGAAGGGTGTAAGGCAGGGGGACACAATCTCCCCAATGCTGTTTACCGCGTGCTTACAGGAGGTTTTCAGAAGCCTAGAATGGGAACAGTTACGGATAAGAGTTAATGAAGAATACCTTAGTAACCTGCGCTTCGCCGATGACATTGCATTGCTGAGTAACTCAGGGGACGAATTGCAACTCATGATTACGGAGTTAGACAAGGAGAGCAGAAAGGTGGGTCTTAAAATTAATCTGCGGAAAACGAAAGTAATGTACAACAACCTCGGAAAGGAGCAGCGCTTCGAGATAGGTAATAGTGCACTTGAAGTTGTAAAAGACTATGTCTACTTAGGGCAGGTAATAACCGCAGAGCCTAACCACGAGATTGAAGTAACTAGAAGAATAAGAATGGGGTGGAGCACATTCGGCAAGCACTCTCTAATTATGACAGGTAGATTGCCACTATGCCTCAAGCGGAAGGTATATAACAGCTGTATCTTGCCGGTACTTAGCTACGGAGCAGAAACCTGGAGACTTACAAAGAGGGTTCAGCTTAAAT